TCAAAATATCTTCTCAGTTTCTGCGCTGTTTTCTAAGTTATTTATAAATGAAATTGAATCCCATTGGTGCAGAAGAGGACTCTGAATAATGCCTTTGGACAGCTTTTTTTTTTCCAGCTTGGTGTTATGAGTGATTACTAACTTTTAAATTGGTTTCCCGTTGAGTTTCAGATCAATTTGACTTGTTCAGTGATGGTAACCACAGTGTAGTTATACATGTAGGTCCCAGTTATTATTATTTTTATTCTTTATTTGGCAGAACGTTTTATTCTCTGCTAAATAATAGAAATAAATGTAACTCCACATTTTAAAGCCAATGCATAAAAGGTGGCAATTACAAGTAATACGCTGTCTATTTAACCTTTTGTTTCCAAGGCATAGAACATGAATAAAAGAACTTTTTGAAAGTTTATTCTTCCAGAAATTTCTTTGAAATAAAACATTTATACTTAGTTTGAGAAATAATTGATGGGAGAATTGTTGGATATAATAGAGCTTGTTATATTCATTCCCTTCCTGCTGACAGATAAATGTTACTGTCAAATGAAAGCCAGCATAGTTTATTGTTTGAAATAAAACAATGAATAGGGTTCTAATATAAAGAATCCTAAAATTAAGCAAAAGCAGCCATTATTTTGTAAAGAGATAATTTGAGTTTACCATATAATCCTTTTTTTTTTTTTTTTTTTTAGTGGAGACGATGTATTTAAATCCTAAGACTTCCCAAGCAGGGGAAAAATAGAAAAATAAGATGAAATAAAGTATATGTAAATGCAGTTTCATGTTTATAGAACTTGAGATTCAAGTGTCAGTTTTATACTTACCCAAAGTTTCTATAGTTCTATAGGAGGAACGGTATGATTTCTAGGTTTCTTTCCAGCTACAATTTTGCCTAACCCATTTAGTAATTGTCTTAATGTCTAATATTTGAATTGTGAATAGAATCCATGAAAAGGGTTTTCTCTGAATCTTATTAAACATTCTGTCATTCTGCTTACCTAATGAAAGAATAAGTAGCTAAAATTTGGGCAGTTTTCAAAAGGTAAGAACAGAACCAATAATTAATTTGAAATGTAAAGAATGGTGCCATTTAGGGTAACATGTATTCTTGTCTTTTTTTTTATTAACTGAGATATAATGAGATATCCAACTATCCAGTTAGTAGATGTATACCATTACTACTAGTGTAGCTTGCCCTTCCATCAGTTTAATAATATGTATTAGGAAAGCATTGTTGTTCTCACTCTTATACCTGTAGATTCTGTATAAACATACCTCCTTGACATATCCATTTTTTTATAAACAAACTATCACCTTCCATTGCTATATTCCAATCTTAAATTTTTGTGATATCCCTGAGATCACCTTAAAATCTTTTTGTTGTGTTGTCAATTAATTCAACCTACATACAGTTTTTTGAGTCTGCTAAATGCCAGGCACTATTTTGGGTGCTGAGGATATAGCACTAAACAAAATAAACAAGAATCCTGACTTTAAGGAGTTTTTATGTTGGCTGGAGAGAAGATCCTGTTTATTTCTCAAATGTTATCATTTGAAGCAAAATAAAGAACTTATGGTGATTTTATTAGTACTTTATATGCCTAAAATTTGGTTTAAAATACATTATTTTGTAGAAACATCCTGGAAGAAAAAGAGCAAGAAGGAGTTTTTTTGTTTTTACATGAACATGAGTGATCAAACCTAAGATTAAACCATATTCTGTAGATATTAGTTTTATTGGACTAGTAATGTATTAGTTATATATCTTAGTTTAAATGTATCTTTTAATATGCATGTAAATGGTCCTTTTGGGGTTGTCTATATTTAATCTTGAGAAGGCTCAAATTGCCCTCTACCGACTGGGCACAGTGGCTCACACCTGTAATCCCAGAACTTTGGGAGGCTGAGGCGGGTGGATCACCTGAGACAAGGAGTTTGAGACCAGCCTGATTGATACTGTGAAACCCTGTCCCTGTAAAAAAAAAAAAAATTGCCCTCTACCTGCTGTGTACAAATCTGACTGGTGGCTCCTGATGCATGGAGGGGGAATGGTGGAAAAGTGGTTGGGGTCTAGACTATAGTCCCTATGTCCTTTCTACAGGCAGTTTAGTATGCTAGCTAAAAGTGTAAGCTTTGGATTCAGACTGGTTGTGTTCAAATCCTGGCTTTGTCAATTTATTATCTTTGTTAGGATGGACAAGTTAATTTATGCTTTAGTTTTCTCATTGTAATATGAAGAAGATGATATCTACTGCATTAGATTGGTAGGACTAACTTGAGACATTTTATGTTAACAGCATTGTGTCATGTCTAGTCCATAGTAAATCAATCAGTGCTAAAGATTATTGTTGTCACTGATCATTGCTGATATAGCAGCAGCAGCAGTAGTAATAGTAATAGTAATGCTATTTTTATAATCATCATGGTCATCGTAATCATATCAGTGGTGATCAGCAAATTTAGAAACAGACTGATTGTGCTGTACATTGAAAATACAGCAAATGTGAAAATGTGTTTTGGTTAATATATATATATATATATATATCTGTTTTCTTATTTCTGTTCAGTAAAGAAACCATTTTACAACTTACTAGTGTCTACATACCAAATGAGTATTATTTTGCTGAGGGATCCTAATAACTCTTGCATCTAATATATATTTTGAATAGAAAATACAAATCTCAACTTGTGGTACATTTTTCTAAAATTATTTTAGAAAACATTTTATGTAGCTTAAGGAACCATGTCTGCTTTAATTAGAAAGGTCATAATAGCTTGCTAGGTTTATATATTTTCTCCTCATTCCTCAATTCATTGCTATAATTTATTCTTATATGAGAAGACGGTCATCATCATCATCATCCTTGTATCCAGATGTTATCTTTTTTACTTTTCAGTGATCTGTAATAAAATATTAGTTATTGACATGGAAGCAAATAAAATGATTTTTTGTTTGGTGACAAATGGAATAGTATGGTTGTGGCATCCATTCTAAATCATCATTTGTATGATTTAAAATTATGGACTCACACACCTTCAAAAACCTATCTCTGGTACATAGTTTGCTAGGATATTACATGCTAACTGGAAATCTGTATTTTAGATATACAATATAATAAACATCTTATTTTGTATATCTAATGGGGAACCTTGACTTTGGATAATTTGCCCCAATAATAATAACTGCACGGGTGATGCTGTTGACTGATGAATCGTCACTGCCCCTTCCCAGACCTTATTAGCTTTCCTCTTCTGCTTTAAAACCCTCCAGTGGTTTCTTATTACTTTTTACTTGAAGACCAATCTCTTCACCAACATAATTTTCAAATGTTTATGAAGTATTTCTTGTGCAAAGCATGTTGTATAACCTAATAATATAAGAAAGTGGAATCCTTTTTCTGGGGTTATGATAAACTTTAGGAAAATGCTACTGTTGATATTCAGAAATATTAGAGAAAATGTTTTATTGAACTATAAAGCAAGGCAATTGAAGTTTGTTTTAACAATTTTTGTCTTTATTCTTAATTCAGAATGATTTAGTTGTTTTCGTAGACTCATGGATGTTAAAGCTAAAAGGAACTTTAGAGAGAATGTTTGAAGCCCTTCATTTTAGAGAGTGACATGCCAGAGAGTGCCTAGCTCATGGAGAGACAGATTTGTTACTGTTTCTCAGGTGTCCTGACTTGTGGAATGTTGCTCTGCTCTATTACCATACTGTGTTTACCTTGCTTTTCCATTTAAATTTATTCTTTTTTTTTTTTTTTTTTGAGATGGAGTCTCGCTCTGTCATCCAGACTGGAGTGCAGCGGCGCGATCTTGGCTCACTGCAAGCTCTGCCTCCTGGGTTCATGCCATTCTCCTGCCTCAGCCTCTCGAGTAGCTGGGAGGCACCCACCTCTATGCCCGGCTAATTTTTGTATTTTTAGTAGAAACGGGGTTTCACTGTGTTAGCCAGGATGGTCTCGATCTCCTGACCTCGTGATCCACCTGCCTCAGCCTCCCAAAGTGTTGGGATTACAGGCGTGAGCCACCACACCCGGCCTAAATTTATTATTAATTATATTGAATCAGGCCTTATATTTGCCTCCTGTAGATTTTCTTTCTTGATCATGGCTTACTGCAGTCTCAACCTTTCAGTAGGGCTCAAGCCATCTCCTACATCAGCTTTCTGAGTGGTTGGGACACTGGGATGACAGGCGTGCCACCACCACACCTGGATAATTTTTAAATTTTTTGTAGAAATGAGGTCTCACTATGTTGCTTAGGCTAGTCTTGAACTCCTGGGCTCAAGCAGTCCTCTCTCCTTGGCTTCCTAAAGTGTTGGAATTACAGGCATGAGCTACCTTACCAGGCCTAGATTTTCTTTCTCTTTTCAGTGATACTTTTCAACCTGCAGAATCATTCCTTTACTCTTGCTAGTACCTGTCTTCTAGGTCTGTGCTATCTAATATGGTAGCCACTGGCCACATGTGGCTATTTACATTTAACTTAATTAAAATTAAATTAAAAATCACTTTCCTAATGTCAGTAACCATATTTTAATTGCTTATAACCAGTAAGCATTTACATAGCTGGTGGTTACTGTGTTGGATAGCACAGATGCAAAGCATTTCTGTGATCTCAGGAAGTTGTGTTGAACAGCACTGCTCTGGATTGTAAGCTATTGGGACAGATGACCATTTGTGTTAGTTTTAACAACATGCACTGCAGGCTCTTGATGAGTTTTTTAGAATATGTGAATGAAAACTTACCCATGCCATCCTTTAATTACTTGCCAAATTTTTTATTTGTAATTTTTCTTTTTGAGCCATTTTATGATTCAGCAATATGGTATTTCCCATTTACATAGTATATATAATATGTATCCTGTACCACTTAAAATACTATGATCACGAATCTTAGAGATTAACATTATAGAGATGCTATTTGCATTATACTCCTTGTGTGGCTAAGTCATTGGGCTAATGTGCATTTTAAACGCTTATTTTTTTAAATTTAAGTTTTAACGGTGACTCCCTGATGATCGTTCCTTGGCATGAACACAAACACCGAGCTAAGGATTGGTGCGAGGAGCTGGCTTGCAGGTCAGTATGAGCCTGCAGGAGGCATCTTGGCTTCTCTGTGGGATGGGTAAACTGATGGCCCTGGCAAAGTAGTGTCTGACCAATGAAACCTTACTTGATGACACTCCCTAATTTAGAAAGTTTGAGTGAAGTTTTAAAAACCTCCTTTGACTCAGTTATGTTAAAATTTTTTAATGGAAAAATTAAATGCTACAAAAGAATTATGTTACAAAATGATGCTTATTACAACAACTGTTTTCATTTTGTGTTATTCCCTTTCAGTCTTTCACATATAGTGATATTAATTTTTTTTATAGTTGTAATTATGGTATGTATGCAATTTTGTTATGGATTAGTTTTAATTTTTATTCTTGTCAGATTTAAGTTTGGGAAGCCTCAGAATGTGTAGGCATCCAGTACTGCAGAAGTGGGGTGGGAGTCGGTGTGGGGCTGAAAATTCACGTGAGGGATGTTGGAATCTCTTTATGCCCTACTCCTCAAAGTTGGGTAAATACTCCTTCACTCTCTCTCTTTCCTTTTTGTTTTTTGTTTTTCATGTGAGACAACAGGTTTATGGTTTTTTTTTTTTTTTTTTTTAACTCATGCATTGAGGCAGAGGGCCTCTAAATTGAGCTAGAAAACCTTCAAATTACTGGATATTAGGCACAGCGTAGGAGGAGTTGAGTTTTTGGTTTGAAAATGTGGGCATTTAGAAAATATATGACCTGAATGTCCAAACTCTGGTTTTCTTCTCACTCCCTGCTCCTAGATGCTGGCATGTTCCCCGAGTAGAAGTTTAGAGAGTTCTTTTCTGGAGAAATGAGTAACCTCTGAAAAGAGGTTTCTAGATACTGAGATATGGTCCTCAAAGGTTAGTGCACCACAAGGTCATAATGAAGCCAACAAATGAACAGGTTCTGCTACCCCGCAGAGCTTCCTGGACATCCAAGGTTAGACTCCAGCAGGAAGAACAAATGAACAAGAAGGGCGAAACATACAGAAAATGAAACTGAAAGAAAGTGATACCACATACACAAAGAAAACTTCAAAAATTATCATTAATATTACCTGGAGTTAAGAGAAAATACTGTATTTGTGAAATATCAGTATCATTGTATAAAATAGAAACAGAATTAAGAGAAATTTAGGACATTAAAAATGTGATAGTTGGTACATAAAAATTAGAAGAGTTGGAAGATAAAAGCAAGAAACTTTCCTAGAAATTAGGTTAAAAATACATAACTAGAAAATAAGAGAGCAGATATTTAAAAATCAAGTCTAATACTCAAGTTATAGATGAAAGAGATGTCATGGGTAATAGAAGGGAGGAAATTATAAGAAATAATTCAAGCCTATTGCTTTGAATTGAAGATTATGCATCCTCAGAAATGCCTATTACATCACAGCATAACACCATGACCTTCCAGAATATTAGGGATACAGTCTTGTGAAGAAAAAGGCATGTTACATAAAAGGAGTTAAGAATCAGAATGACCTCAGGTACCTCAGGAAAAACACTAGAAACTAGAAAACAATAGAGCAATCCTTTGAAACTTTTTTTGGAGAATTTTTTTTTTGCTATAGATTTCTGTATCAGTTAAAATCCCAGTCAGATATGAAGTTAAACACCTAAAGGTTTATAAAATGTACTGTTGCCGTTGTAATGTCTATGGTAATTGATAGTGTAGAGTTGAAGGGGAGACTGGGGAGAGTGGAAAGCAAGAAGAGAGCTGGGCTAACAAGCCTGTGTCCTTGCTGGTACTCATGCTGGGGGAGAGGAGGATGCTGTAGCAAAGGTGACTGAAAAGGGGCAGCCAGAGGGAGGAATGCTTCACAGCGTGACGGCAGACTGGCAAGGGGCAAAGGGCATTTCCAGAAGGGGGAGCGATCAGTTCTATCAAAGGGTGCTGAAAAGGAAATAAATACACAGAACTGAAAGAGGTATCAGATGAACTCAACGTTACTGTTGGCCCCTTTTCCCTGCAAAAATAGAGCAGATGTAAGAGATGCCAGGAGGAGTGAGTGATGTGCTTCGTGTGGCAGAGCTGGGGGAAAATCCCTGGAAGAATGTTAACAACACTGTGAGACTAGTAAATGAAGGACCGTTCCATATATAGGGAGGTTTTATTGTAGTGGCAGGTGTAAGCAAAGTAGGTTGTCTAAGGCATGTGGATAAAATGTCCCAATGTTTACAGGCTGTGTTTCTGCTAATAATTTTAACAAAAATAACAGTAAATAAAATTAAGCACTTCCTTTGTGTCAGGCAGTGCTCTGTTATTTTGAATTTTCACAACATTCTTGTATAGTGTTTTTCCCCATTTAAATAAAAGGAATAAAAGGAATAAATAGGAATAAAGGAGATCTTAGACTAGTTTTAGTTAAGGAATTTGCAGGTTTCACAGCTTTCAGTGATGGAATTGTACGTTTGATTCTATTCTGACTCCGAAGCTCATTGCCTTACAGTAAGAACCATTGTAGAACCAGTCGTGTGCTATCAGCTTGCTTTAGATGAATGACTATCCCTAATGGAATATAGCATTTTTACATATGCCCATCTGATACCTCTTAGTTTGTTTTTTTTTATTATTTTTTTTGTCCTTAACCATGGAAGGCAATTGGCCATGATCATTCTCATTAAAAACTCCTCAGAGCCTGCGATCCCCACGAGGTCAGCCCTGTGTACGTTCCTCCAAGATGTGGTTTCTTTTCTTCACATTTGATAGGGAATGGTATAGAGTAGTCCTGTGCTGTGCAAATGTCAGTACAATACTAAATTGCTGGCACCTAGTAGAAGTATATTATCAACATAAATAAAATGTATTTCTTCTTATTTTTATGAACATCGAGAACAAGATTTCTTAATTCAAATTCAAATTGGAATTGCTGGGGATATTTTCCTAAACTAGGCCTGGCTGGCCAGCACAGGTGATTTTGATTGAGCGGGCCTGTGGTAAGCACCCAGCTGTGTATATTTTGTAAAAGCCTCCCTCGGTGATTTTCGATTTTATTAATACTTATTTGATTGATTTGTGGCGTAGCTGTTTTGATGTATTATGCCTTCTGATTTTTTAAATCGGGAAAACCGGGGGAAAATAAATTAAGTATCCAAAAAAGTCTCATTTATCTTGTCAGGGTACGTGTGCATGTGATAAGATACACAAACCACATCCATGTGTGCTCCCTGTCTCTGTAACCTACTCTCTCCCCATCTCTGTCCCTGTCTTTCACAAAATTATATGTTTTTCCAACATTCTAGTCAGTTATTAATTGGTCCTTTTGTGCTTCACAGAATGGTTGTTGAGCCGAATCTCCAAGATGAAAGTGAATTCTTGTATGCTGCACAGCCTGAGTTACTAAGGTTCAGGACGACCCAGCTTACGGTGGAGAAGGTTATGGACTGGTATCAGACCAGAGCAGAGGAAATAGAGCATTATGCCCTGCAGGTGAGGGGAAATGGCAGCTGCTGCTCAGTAATGCTAGTGGAACTGCCTGGGATCCTTAGGATTCAGTACACGGAGTGGGGGCTGACAGCAGTGCAGGAATCATGTATATAATTGCAAGAGATGAATTGAATATTTATTTCTTAGTTATCCTGTGCATTAGAACGTTTTGTGGCTTTTGTTTTGGATTCTTACAGAGCAGGTGCATACAAGTAACGTTAAAACCTAAGTTGCAAAATGTGGTACATATTGTCCCTTGTTTTCTATATATTTTTCATAGGCTTAACACCATATAATTTAAAAGATCATGTCTACTTACAAATGCTTGGTTAATCCGCTGTTTTATTGCGGTAATACAGTTGATTGTAACTTTGCCTTTCAGGAACCCTGTTTGAAGTCGTTTCTAATGTTTTCCTGAAGTTCATGCCTAATTTCTCTCAGTTCTTAGACACTTTTACAGAGATGCCAAACAGCTGCATTAGAGAAGGATCTGGAAGAGAGAGATGAGGATTATACTGAACCTTTTGGGTGTCTGAATACTGATCTTCACTCTTCAGCTGATAGACTTTATGACTCAGACCTATTGCCTGCCTTTTCTGTATGTTGATTTTCCCGTGGGGTTGGTTCTAGCCAGCAGACAACAATTTCTTTCTTCCACGTTCAATCTTTACTTTTTACCGCCTGTCCTACCATCAGCCTTTGATTTGACAGGAAAGGTGAATCCTGCGGGTCTGGTGAGCAGCAGTACCATGGGAGGTAATATATACTCCCTTGTTTAAATTTCTACTTAGTTGAGCTTCAAGTCAATGACAAATTTTTAGAAAATTTTAAAAATAAATAAATAAAATGAATTTCTACTTAGTATATCTAGCATGGCCCATGTGTTTCCATATGGTAGACTTCTTGAATTTCTGCTTAACCTAATTCCTATTTATAATACTCATAGCAGTGAAGATGAATTATTTACTGAGCTGTTGGGGATATTCTAGACTAAACTCTTTGGGTGATGGCCAAGAACATTTGTGATTGACATCCTAAGTATATGAAGATGCACTTTTGAAAATGTGTAGAATCTGAAGAGATAACACAATGAAGTGAATCTCTGGACATAAGCTAGTTCAATTACTTTAATTCTGTATTTTATAAATAAAGTTCACAGAAAGGAGAATGAACGTCTTGCACAGGGACACACGGTGGCAGAGCCAGATAAAATCTGGGTCCCTGTATAATCTTTTAAAATAAAATCTATATAAAAAAAATGTAAAAAAAAAAAAAAAAAAAGATCAACTACGCGTAGGTTGTTGTAACATGAACCTAGACATTTTTAAGACTTCAGTGGTACCGTATGACTTGTAGGAGTTTGGCAAATACATGTGTTCTACGGTTATCTCTGGCTAACAAGAAAAATGATTTTGTTAGAGGGACATGTTTTGTTTGAACGTTTTGTAGTTTCCTAGTTGAACTTCTAGATAACGCTCTTTGAGAATAAGGAGAAAAGTGTGTCTGGTTTGTGTGTGTATTTATACATTAAAAAAACTTATTTCTAGGTAGTTTTGTCAGTTGAGCTAGGAATGTGAATTAAAAAATTTCTCATGTCAATAAAAAGTGCTGGGCAACCAGTATCATGAATTTTGAAAGATCATTAATGATTCCTCAATTTTTGGTGTTTAAATATTTTGTAACCCAAATTTCAAACATTATTCGGTTTCAAAAAATTAGTAACAGAAAAAAATGCCACAGTGGAATGCAAAATAAGCTGTGGGTTTTTTTTTTTTTTTTTTACAATTAACTATTTTGTTATTTATTTATAGACTTTGTTTTTTAGAGGAATTTCAGGTTTGCAGAAAAATTGAATAGGAAATACAGAGTTCCCATGAGTCCCCTTTCCCCACATGGCTCCCCCGACCCACAGGTTATTAGTAACGTCCTGCATTTGAGCAATGCATTTGTTAGCACTGAAGAATCAAGATGTCCTTTAGTAGGTGAACCGATAAATTGTGGCGTACCCACAATGGAATATTTACTCAGCTCTAAAAAGAAATGAACCGTCAAACCGTGGAAGACATGGAGCAACCTGCAATGCCTATTACGTAGTGAAGGAAGCTAATCTGAAAAGGCTGCATACTGTATGATTCCAACCATATGACTTTTGGGAAAGCCAAAACTGTGGAGTCAGTGAAAAGATCAGGGCTTACAAGGGGCTAAGGGAGATGGAGGAATGAATGGACAGAGCACAGAGGAGTTTTAGGGCAGTGAAACTCTTCTTCATTGGATACTATAATGGTGCATATGTGTCACTGTGCAGTCGTCAAAACCCTTGGAATGTACAGCACTAAGAGTGAACCCGAATGTAAACCGTGGCTTTTGGGTGATGATGATGTGTCAGCGCAGGTTCATGGGCTCTCGTGGGGGTACTGATAGTGGGAGAGGTTGTGTGGTTGGAGGGTGGGGCAGGAGGTATATGGAAATTGTACTTTTAGCTCAATTTTGAGGCAAACCTGAAACTACTCTAAACAATGAAGTGTATTAAAGGAAACACCTACAGAGCTTTCTGAAACTTAAATTTGTAAATCACCTAGTGATAATGCCTGGACATCTCGAATTCTCTTTTTGAGTAATAAGGGATAATTATAAAGAAAGTAAGATGATTTTGGAGGACTTCACTTGGCTTGTATTCTTTCTCTCATTCTTTCATTTATTTTAAAACACTTAGAGGCTTTTTTTTTTGCTTCATGTTAGATATTGATGTTTCATGTGGGTTATGCTGTGATCAAAGTGATATCTGACATAGTTTTATCTTTTTCATTTTTAGAGATTTAATTGATGTGGGACTTCTTTTTCCTTACTGCCTTTAGCAAAACTTGTTTGTTCGTTTAGGAAAATGTTTATTGTGGTGAATTTTATCTGGCAAGGGCTTAGGGTATATGATATCGTTCTGTAAGTTGCATTAGAGCCTACTTTCAGTTAAAGTGTCAGTAATTTTGTTTTAAAACATTTATACTTCAGTAAGTATTTGGGAAGGCAACAGATATTAAGCTGATATTAAAAATACTAGTTTGGATCACAAAATTGGTGAGTATATTCCAAATTGCTGATGTACTGTATGTTCAGACTATCACTTGCACAAAGCTGTGCTCTATGCATCAAGTTTTCTTAATGCTTTCTGAGAATTCATTTGAGATAGAGTTTTTTTTTTTTTTTTAAGTTGTTATAAAGGTAGATGTATTCTTTCAGACTTGAACTTTGTTTTTATTAGTAGGCATTAAGTTAAAAAAACACGTATCTGTTGAAGTACTGTGAGAGTCCCCATTTTGCCTCATACTGTACCTCCCTCTACTGTTCTCCCCTTGTATTTATCTGGACCACTCTTTCCAACTGAAATGCATTTCTTCTTCCTTCACTTCATCTTCACTTGTCCTTCCCTAGGTGTTTGAAGGGCTGTGAGTGGACCTTTATTATTGCCTGGCATTTTTTCTTGGCATTACATTGCTGCCCCGTATTCCCCTTCTCCTCTACTCCTTTTACCCCACCACTTCCCTCATCAGTCTCAGAACATGATTTGGCTTTGTATTTTATTTGAAAATTTGAGAACTCCATTCCATTTGCACTTGCTCCTTCCAGCTTTTCCTGAGGAAGAGGGCTCTCCTCTTTTGGTCAGAACCACTTTCTTTCCTTAACTTGCTCTAGATTCCACAGTCCCACCTGCTTAGATTGGCTTTCTCAGCCATCTGTTTTCTCTGGCTTGTATCTTTTACCTCCCCTTCTATACTGAGTCTACTCTCTCTGCCCCTCCCCTTTTTGTGGGCATAAAATTCACATCCCTTGCATTTTATAAATAAAAATATAGAGCCATATTCTCCTTGGCTGCTGCTTTTTTTTTTTTTTCTTTTTATTTCTGTCACAGTTCAGCTCAGAAATAGCCACTCTGCTTTTTGTTTACTCCTCATTTCCCCACAGCCTGGTGACTCCCACTGCCCCACTGAGACCACACTCAGTAAGTCTGATAGCCCACCTCAGTCTCCCTGTTAATGTCATGTTCCCTTCATTTGTGGTTTAACATCCTTGCTTTTTGACACTATTCACTGTTTCTTTCTTGTAGTTCTTCTTTGGCTTCTGTGATATTATTTAAGGTGTTTCTTGTGTTGTCTTAGCCATTCATTGTAGTCTCATCCTAGGGCTCATGTTGTTTGGCCTTGTCCCTTAATTATTGCTATTGCCCAGCGTGCTACTGTTATTACTAGAGGAGAGTCTGCAGTTGTGACCCATTTAGGTCCCTCTGCCCAAATATTGTTCTACGATATGTGTGCTGACAATTCTCAAATATCATCGTCAACCAAGTACATGTACTTTGGCACAGATTTTTTCTTCTTCTTGGACCTACTATTGGGCATCTGTATCAAGATGTCTCATGGGCACCTCAGAAGCAACATGGTCAATATAGAATTAAAAGCCAGGCATGGCATGGTGGCACATGTCTTTCTCTGTTGCTGAGGTGGGAAGATCACTGGAGCCCAGGAGTTCAAGGCTGTAATGTGAATAGCCCACTGCACTCCAACCTGGGCAGTATAGCAAGACCTTGCCTCTAACACACACACATACACTCACACACGCACTCACACACACACAGTCACACACACGCTCACATACACCACTCTACCACACACACACTCCCATAGACACACACACACACACACAGTCACACATACACAATTTTTACTTTTGATAAATGTACTCTTCTACACACACACATACACACATATGTGTATATATGAATTTCTCCTGTGGATTAGATGAGAAATCGTTCTAGACTCCTCTTTACTCAAATTTCTCATCTGCTCTGACCACATTTCACAAATTCTATATGCTTCATTATCTGTTATGTTCTTTCTCTTGTATGTCTTCAGGAACACTGTCATAGTTTAGCCCCTTACTGTTTTTGCACAGTACATTGGAAATATGCAACAAGTATTTACTCTCTGTGAATAAATGTGTGAACTAATCAGTCAATAAATGGGAAATCAGTGTTATTTCTGTCAGAATTTCTCTAATACTGGTAACCAAAATTCTTCTGACCAGCCTGCCTATTTTCACTCTAGTCCGTTTCCAGTTCATCAGGCACATTTCATTCATTAGTCAGTAAATGCTTAGTATTCTTTCCAAAGTGTAGATCTATTTGTGACATGTCTCACACAGAAATCCTCTGCTTTCCTGATCAGCTGCTTGTTCCTTCACTTGACACACAACGTTCATGATCCAGCCTGTCCCTGCTACTCTAGCCGTCTTTCTCATCGCTTCCCTTCATAGCTGCTTTTCAGTCACATGGAATTGTACTTTCACAACTCACCATGCATCTCTGCATTCCATGCTGCTCTCTTTCCCATAATCTTCCTTCCTCACCTAACGAATACCCCTTGATTCTTTAAAGTTCATGCTGAGTGTTCCCTCCTCTGGGACCCTCTCAGGCTGGTCTAAGTGCTGTCTTCTGTGGGATCTGCATCACACACAGCACTCACTGCACTCTGCTTCGGCCATTGTGGTTGTCTTTTCCTACAAGGCTGAGAGATCTTTGAAGGAAGAGAACTCCTCTTACTCAGTTTTGTATTCCTAACAGAAATGGCGAATGGTGCTTATCTCATAGTAGGTCCTCATAAATAATTGGGAATAGGAGAGTAAGAAGTAGTTTGAGAGATAATGGCTTTAGACTACACTAGATAATTTCTCCATCACTCAGAGGGTGTATCAGTTCATAAACTTGACCAGGAAATAGGGGTCAAATGGCTGTTTCCTGAGCATCTTCAGGAATATCATTCTGTGTTTTTGTCTTTTGAAGTCTAAATATTTGAATTGAGACTAAGGAAGTGTTTGTACCATCGTTATTCAGCAAATATTTATTGAATGACCTTTCTATGGGAGGGAGTGTGAAAGGATAGATACTAACCAGGAATATAAAAGTAAAACCTTCAAAACAAACGTTCTTTCTGGAAGCACAGTGGTAATAGTAAAAATAAGGTTCTTTTGGCATTGTCATTAGTAGGTAGGTGTTTTTTCTCTACTTGTTATGTAAATATAATGTTGTAAGAATTAAAAAGAGAAATATGTAAAGCTGCATTGTGAACTTTAACACTCTACAAATTTATAATAGGTTGGTTGTCCTTCTCTTATCTTCCGTATTTCTTGCTGATTGTTTAATTCATTTGAAACAGTTTGATGCAGATATATTTGATGAAGTACTCTGTTGTTTTTGCAGTAAATGAAAAACATATGTTACTGGTAATGTAATTTTATAAATGATCATAAGAATTAGATTCTGTACCGGAGACTTTTGCTTTAGAATAGATGAGAAATATATAATCCTCAGGAACTTATTGTTGCTTTCCAATTTTAGGTGGACTGTGCATTGTCACTTATTCGACTTGGGATGGAGCGGAATATTCCTGGTTTGCTGGTTCTCTGTGATAATTTGGTTACTCTGGAAACATTGGTTTATGAAGCTGGGTGTGACGTAACTCTCACCCTGAAAGAACTCCAGCAGATGAAAGACATTGAAAAACTAAGATTGCTGATGAATAGTGTAGGTTTTACTTTAACTTCCTTTTTAAACACTTTAAAGCATTTTCTATACACTTTAATACGTATATGTCTCAAACCAAAGATGAAATGTTCTCCACACCTGAGAAGTTGGTAAATAAAGATTGACTTTTTTCACAATAAAATATTATGGAGAACTTATGAAACACATATAAAACTATTTTGGTTGTGTTTATACCTTGCTTGCCCTTTACTCAGACCCACTCATATAACTTTTTTTTTTCCTTTCTAGTTAGATGTATTTCTAAAGTAGCTAGTGATTCTAGTAATCCTGTTTCTAACCTATCACTTTGTTAAAATTCCCATTACTTATAATTTCAAGGACTGGAAAAAGTATCAGGGTTAAGAGGACTGGGTGGTTGTGTGAAGAAAACATCTTGGCTTCAGGGTTAGTGTGTTTAAGAGAATTTTCCCACTGATTCTTAGATCATTCTGTGCTTTTTCCCCAAAATTAGGACCTTATTTCTACTCCGGCCACAGAGTCAACAGGCGAGAAGGATGGTGCTGTGGAGGTGGTAGCTGTCAATGTTCTTTCTAGTCTTTTGCTCATTGGCAGCTTAGGTTGAATGGGCCAGAAGAAGGGGCAGAGTCACAACTGCATGATAGATTCTTTTTCCTCCCTGGACTCTTTCTCTCTCCTTCCCTTCCACATTTTCCCCCATCTTATATTTATCTTCCTTTTTCTTTTTCTTTTTTTTTTTTTTGAGACGGAGTCTCACTCTGTCGCCCAGGCTGGAGTGCAGTGGCCGGATCTCGGCTCACTGCAAGCTCCGCCTCCCGGGTTCACGCCATTCTCCTGCCTCAGCCTCCCGAGTAGCTGGGACTACAGGCGCCCGCCACCTCGCCCGGCTAGGTTTTTGTATTTTTTAGTAGAGACGGGGTTTCACTGTGTTAGCCAGGATGGTCTCGATCTCCTGACCTTGTGATCCGCCCGTCTCGGCCTCCCAAAGTGCTGGGATTACAGGCTTGAGCCACCGCGCCCGGCCAAAACATTTTTTTTTTTTGCATTGTTAGTAGAGACGGGGTTTCACCTTGTTGGCCAGGTACTGGTCTTGAACTCCTGACCTCAGATGATCCACCCGCCTTGGTCTCCCAAAGTGCTGGGATTATAGACACGAGCCACCTCGCCTGGCTTATCTTCCTTTTGTCTCTCCCTCTGTCTTTACCTTCCTGTTATCTTATTAGTTTCTTTTCCTGATAATCTACCTAATTAAAATTAATTTGTGTTGTATGTTGACTCCTCTTAAGAGCTTTAGGTGTATCTTTTAAGGGATAATTAAGAGAAACCATAATGAGTGAAACTCTCTCTGTCATCTGGAATTTTGTAAAGGTGGTTATAAAGGGGCAAAACAAAACAAAGAGGAAGAAGAAAAAGAAGGGAGAGATTTCTGACTTTTATAGATGAAACCCTTTTTTTTCTATTGGCCCCTATTTTAGAACCTGTGCTTATTTGTCTATCTCTCTTTCTACTTTTTTCGTTCAGTCTTTGTTCACCCTTTGTTGATCTAAGGTCTCCTCTGTCTGTCTCTGCCTCTTTTTATACTCGTTCTCTTTTTGGGTATGCCTTCTCTTTGCTCTGGACGACCTCATGACTGAGCTGGAGTAGCAGCATGTTGGTTTTCTAGAGCTGATTAGGCTCCTTGGGACCCCACATTGCTTATGATGAGCCATAGTGATACTGATGAACCATAGTGATATTGCTGTGTCAGCTCTACTAGCCCCAGTAGCAGGTGATTCATTTTCCTGTTACCTGTCAATCCACATGTGAGTGGTGAACTGGACTGTGTGTTTTAGAGTGTTGGGTTTACACTGTTTAACATCAGTCTGAGGACCTGTAAGCTTTAGAACTTGTTGTCTGATATAATAAGACATTTAGTTAAACTTCATTCTTGTTTGTTTTGCTTGATTGTACTTTCAGTGTTCCGAGAACAAATATGTGACAAGTGCCTACCAGTGGATGGTTCCCTTTCTTCATCGTTGTGAGAAACAGTCGCCTGGTGTGGCTAATGAGCTATTAAAAGAATATTTAGTAACTTTAGCTAAAGGGGACTTAAAATTTCCCCTGAAGATATTTCAGCATTCCAAACCAGATGTAAGTAGAAACTAACTTCTTAAAAGTCTGTGCACTTTTCCCCCTAGAGTATTAGGTTTTATTTATAGAATTTTTATAGTAGGCTTTGCAGATAATTTCCGTTTAAACAGAAAAACAAGTGGTTGTCATTTTATTGTTTAAAAAGTTTTAACAGCATAGTCCAAATTTTTTGAAAGTTCGTAAAATTGTGTTTATTTTGATTGATTTCATTCGAAAGTTTGTTTGCCATCTACTATATTTAAGAAACTGGCAATACCAAGAAGACTAATAGTTGGCAAGTATTGAATTCTTCTATACATGACTTTCCCAGTGTTACCTCATTTAATCCTTATAATAATCCTATGGCATAGATACTTTTATTATCTTAATATTACAAGAAATGAAAATCATGATATAAAGTGAATAGGGTAATTGCCCAGGGTTACACAGTAAGTAGAGAAACCAGGATTTAAACATAGTATTCTAATTCCACACTGTGTCCGTAACCACTACACTTTTTCCTACCACAAACAGGAAAGGGGAATGTTTCTGTCCTTGAGGACCTTCACAGTATTTATGCAAATCCTTAAGTTATCATAAGACATCTTGAAATTATTCCTTTTTTCTTTCTTTTTTTTTTTTTTGGGACAGAGTCTCACTCTGTCTGCCAGGCTGGGGTGCAATGGCACAATCTCAGCTCACTGCAACTTCCATCTCCCGGGCTCGAGCAATTCTCCTGCCTCGGCCTCCCGAGTAGCTGAGACTCCAGGCGTGTGTCACCACGCCCAGCTAATTTTTGTATTTTTAGTAGAGACGGGGTTTCACAGTGTTGACCAGGCTGGTCTCGAACTCTTGACCTCAGGTAGTCCTCCCGCCTTGGCTTCCCAAAGTGCTGGGATTGCAGGTGTGAGCCACTGCACCTGGCCGACATTTTGTAATTATTCTTAGTAATTCTTATATTTGCTTGCAACTACTATATATGTATAGCTTTGTATTTCTAAAGGGTACAAATGATTGTTCGTGTTTCCTGGTAGTATAGTCATTTTGTTAAGTGCGGTATACTTTGACAATATCACAAACCTAAAAATTTAGCCATAGATCAAATATACCGTTTCAAGAGATAACGTCTCCCTTTCCATTGGAGGGTATGCAAGCAAGTTGGCAGAGCCACGGAAGGCGCTGACTTTGTAGTAAGGTTCAAAACATTATATTGGGGTTCAAGCAGAAGCCATTTGGGGCTCCTTCCAATTCTAAATTCTGGCTGGGACTGTTTCCTTGCACCGGCCTTTGTTGGCAATGTCTGGTAGATACATGGTCATGGACCAGTATAATCAAGATGGAAAGGAAAGCATTGCTTCGTTAATATTAGATATGTTTTGGTTTCTAAAAGGTTGGTCTGTCAGAAGTATATCTGTTAATTGGGTATTTAAAATTTTCTCTCTTCTCTGAAGCAGTTTGCTCTTGGTAATCTGATTTTAAGTTTGGGGTGGTGAGATCAGGGTGGACGGCTTATGACAGCAGAATACTTTGTGAGAAGCAAGATGGAGTAAATATGAATGTTTTATGAGGAAGAAAGAAGTGACTTTAAATTCTTTCCAGTAATCTCGTGTGTTATACTTCCGTAAATCCTTTGTGTATAGTCAACTTTTTGTTGTTTTCACTTGGCAATTTAGCATGTGGCTTTTGAATAAAACATACAGCCATTCACCTTTGTTGAAATATGTGAATCTCAAAGCAGGAAACAGTGATGTTGTTGGGCTTTTCCTTTCCAACCCAACTTCTGTATTTCTCTCAGTGCTGTCTTTCTACAACATACATGTGATCATGTCGTAATCTGTGGAAGGTTTTCCGTGACTGACCATTGCTGACCGGTAAATGCTGGAATCTCTAGAGTGGCTTGTAATGTTCTTTGCTGTCTGCTTCTGTCTGCCCTTTAGCTTTATTTCTCTCCATGTATGCACTAGGATACCCACATGGAACTTCTTAACTCCTCCCCTATCTGGTTCACTCTTGGCCCTCCGTGTGCTGCGAACTGCTTCCTTTGTTTGGAGTAGTGATCCCCTTACTTCACTTAACAAATACCTGCCTATCCTTCAAGGTCCTGCTAAGATTCTCTCTATTATGAAACCTTCTGTGACTTCCCTGTCTTCATACTCTGTCTCTATTATAGCTCTTGTCATACTGTGCTGTATTTATTTGTTTACATGTTTGTCTCTCTCTCTCTTTGCTTTCTGTGTATATCTTCTAGATCTTACTTATCTCCTTATTACCAGGGAATTGCACGGTGGCTAGTAGACAGCAAATGTCAGCAAATTTTGGCAGGGCAAGTGAATAAATGATTGAATGATTGAAACTGGTATCAATATAAAAAATACAACAAGACAAATCTCTAAGTGAAAAGATTTTATTTGGGAACAATATTTGAGAAGTAGGACTGCAATTCAAGACATGCATACAGACTGAAGTGGCTTCCAATATGTGTGGAGATTAAGGGAATAGGTTAGGGTTTCACTGGGGAAAGAGGAGGTTGTGCAAGTTGTTTTGAAAAGAAATCCTTTTGGTGCTGGCAGTGTCTTACAAGAGCTGGTGAGTTCTGATTTGCAAGCGTCAGTTGTAGTAAGATAGGGCTTTGTAATCTTGGGGTTATGGTTAGGCTCTTGTAGTTTTGGGTTGGGCTTGAGAGAGTTTTTGAAATAGGCAAGTGTTTATGTAGAAGTAATAAGTTGTCCTTGTGTGATTCATGTAGTCGACTGTGGTTTGGAAAAATTTTTGTGATAGTTCCTGTTATTAGGCAAATGATGTCTAAGAGCCCCCCTCCCGCCCCGACTTCATGGCTCTCCCCAGCTCCATTTGCCGGGGTTTGACACAGTGACTTCTATTTTGAATGTTATAAATTTCACACTGTATTTTATTATGTTGCTTTATATAACTTGATTACATTTGTTTGCTTTACTAAAATTGTGCAGGGAGCCTTGTTTGTATTTTACTTGATTACTTGCAAAAACAATGCACCTCAGAGCTTCCATGAATCATGCACAAAGTATTTTTAGTAACGTAATAGGTGCAATTATTTCTGTATCAGACAGGATAGACTAAGTTATGCTACATTAACAAGTGACATCTATATCTTAGTAGCTTACGGCTGTGGACATTTATTTCTCACAAGTGTCATGTCAGCTGTGGTTGGCCTCTGCTGTGTCCCATGTCTTACTCATTTGGGGACTTAGGGAGAAAGAACATTCCTCTTTTCTCTCTTGTGGCACAGGAAAAAGAACAAAGTAGATACACACAGTGGCTCACAAAACTTCAGTCCAAATGTAGCTTAGGTTACGTCTTTACATTTCACAGGTCAAAGAACATCTCATGGGCAAGCTTGATGTTAATGGGGCAGTGAAGAGTAATCCTCTCAAAGGAAGAGAGGAGCGAATACTTGGGAATGATAATGAAATTGACCAGAGTCATAATGATAAAGAAATGGATCTTGAGACGTATCCCAGTGCTACCACTACACTTAGCTGCCACATTTGTCTCTGAAACCGTCACATATGCCTCGAACCTCCCTCTTTTTAGAAATAGTATCTTAAAGCACTCCTTTCTGATTTTAAGCCATTGTTCTTTGCTTGGATTCCTCCTTGGAAAGTGAAACTTGGGAAGAAACTTGGGCTAGTCCTAGGTAGGAATAACTGGGGGCCAAAAGCTTCCGCCTTCTCATATTGTTCTCTGACTTCTAAACTAGTAATTTTTGAGTGTATCTGTGCCTCAGAACCATGTGCATTTTTCTTAGCATTTTCTGTGCTCAATCCAGATATAATGGATTAGAAATTAGCGGAGGCATCCTGGAGTACGTGTTTGACAATTTATTCATGATTTTGATGGAAAATCAGGAACAACTGCTTTAAATGTTCACTCTTCTTTTAACAAATAGGACTTCACTAGGTATCATAGCTTTGTTAGGTGCCATCTTTTTTGTTCATTTCTGATTACATAGGTCAGTGAGCAATTTTAGTTTGAAAATGACCTTTTCTTATTTAATGCTTACTATAGAATATTTAGAAAACTCAAAAAACATAAAGATGAATATAAATTTTTGTAGCTGGCAATATCATTGACTAGAAATTCTAAAAATGTTACCACTAAAATATTTAGAAGTATTCATTAAAATGTTAATTTAAAAAAAAATCTGTTTACCTGCATAGTTGAACTTTTAGGAAAACAAGGGAAATTTCTACCAGGCAAAAGTGAAGAGAGAGGTAGAAGTTAGAGAAATACTCATGAGAAGGAGGGAGTGGCTAGGGATAGGGATTGTGGTCTTGAAAACCTGTAGAGGAGTGAATTTTAATACCTGTCTTCACATAGAAGGTGAAGTCTTTGAAATGATGAGTCAGAAGTCAGACTTCTGGTAGGTCGTGAGTGACCTGGTCAGCTGACCCTGGAGCCGATTTAGGGCGCTTACCTTGGCTTCAGAGTCACCACAGCTGTGGCCAGTCACTTGGCCAGCAGATGCTGTAGGCTGAGAAGCCATCCACTGAAGAGGGGTACCACGCAAAAGAACAGGAGGAGGAAACAGGCCAATGCTGTAACTCAGGCTGAAATTGAACAGCCTACAGAGGGAGAAAGTGTTCAAGGCCAACGAAGCTACAGCACTGGGATCCCACGAAACTGCAGGAGACCCACAGGAAGATGCCTATCTTCCAGACCTACTTCTAGCAGAACTGGGATGAAGTCTTCGACAACCTTTGCCATATTGGCTGGAAATCCTTGGAAACTTCCAGAAGAAAGGAGCACCTGTTTCATGGACTGGCATTTTAGATGCCCTCGTGGAATATGAAGCTTTAGCAAAGCTCAAGTTACGTTCTTGTGAAAAGGCATTAAATTATTTCTGTGTATTATATAGTTGGTCTTTTAACTTTTTGAGAGTAGCAAATCTAGCTTCTTTGTATAGACTTAGAACTTATCCAAAGATTTTATCTTTTCCCCTCATATTTCTTAGAAATTTAATGAGCACATGTTGTCTGTTTTCC